TGTGTGTGTGTGTGTGTGTGTGTGTGTGTGTGAGTGAGTGAGTGAGTGAGTGAGTGAGTGAGTGAGTGAGTGTGTGTGGGGGTGTGTGGGTGTGTGTGGGGGTGTGTGTGTGTGTGGGGGGGGTTTAGTGCTATTTATCACTACATTACCTCCTTTCTGTCTAGGAATGCAGCCAGCGTATACAGTGTATATCGCTTCACGGAGTTTTGGTCTTGACTGAAATATTTTGAAACCTTTTGGATGGATTGTCGTGACATTTGGAACATACCTTCCTGTTCCCTGAAGGATGAATTCTGAGTTTTACTAAACCCTCTCAAACTCATGGTCCACGGAAACAAATCCTCAAACTTTTACCCACCCTCACATCAAAAGACCAATTAACAGTATGCCAAAAATAAGAGTATCATATTTGAGTTTGTGAAACAGGGTGCATTCAGAGTGCTAAATAGCAACGTTTGTTTGTCATTTTAAGGTTTAATTAAGTTTTATGAGTTGACATGCAAACTTATGACTTTGGTGAATCGGCCATATTATGGTTTGTGGGGTTTTCCCTCTCCTGTAGTGTGTTGTATAGATTTTAGTGCATGTAAATGGTCTACAAAGGCTAAAATCCCTGTGTTCACTCCAGGGGAAGTTTCGACGCCATTAACCAATCACAACATAGCCGGCCAGCTAACCAATCATAGCAGACTGGACTCTGGTTTCAGACAGAGGGTGAAAAGAGGTGCTGCAGCAAAGGCAGTATGAGAAAAATAAAGAGCTTTTTGAACATTAAAGCATGGAGACATGTCACAGTAGAGATACTAAATACAAATATGAACAATATTTGTACATTTTTTTAATGAATTAAGTTATTACTACCAAACAAACTCAAAGAAACGTTCAAACAGCCTCAGCTTCCACTTTGTTTTATATACTGTTTCTAATTACTGATGTTTTAACAATTTTACATTTTCAATCATCCGGAGATCGGACGTGATTTGATTAATCAAGGGTTCAATCAGTACTAATATAAACATTTTGACACTTGAGCTTCAAAGGAAACGCTGTCATGTTAAAGCCAAGAGTTATTTCACTCATGAGAACCTTCACGCTGACTGTGAACCTAAACGTTTATTTATTTTGATCTTCATCGCTCTGTTGAAATCTGCTTTTCATTTCATGTTTGCTGTTTTGTTAATTAGTCATTAGTTCTTAAATAAATGTGTGAGCCTTCTGTCGTTTGTTAGTCCTGCAGGCGAGTCCTTCTGGTTTACATCCTTTCACAAGCAAATTCAAACTCAAAGGAGCTTTATCGGCATCAACGTTTCGAGAACAATGTTGTGTCAAAATATTTAGACATTACACAATAACAGTCGAATAAACATCAACATAATATTAACATTGACTTATGCACGTGTGTTTGGGTGTGGGTGTAAAGCTGTACCGAATAAAGTTTGTCTCACAATCAAAGTTTCTATAAGCTTTGGGTGTTTGGTGATATATTTGAGGACGTCATCACCATTTTATAGACTTTAAAACATATTTTAAAATAAATATCTTATCCTTTTTTTATAGTGTGCATGTTTGTTGCTAGCTTAGCTTAGCATCATTGCTGTAAACATTGGGAAACTGCTAGCATGGATCTTTCCAAAGATAACAGGGATCTTTAAGGCTCACAAATGAACAGTTTATGTGTTTAATAATTACAAAACCCCAACGGCGAAAAGGCAGGTTATGGTTTTAGCGAGGGTTATATGTCAGATTATTTTTGAGCTCTGAGCATTCGGCCGCCAACCAGCAGACTTCAGGAAGTCGCTCTGCCTGGCCAAGAAATAAAAACCTCCGACATCAAAAGTCTAATTGACACTTTTAGGTGTTTTTCTCAATAATTTAATGATCTAGATGTGCTAAGTGGACTTGAGCCTGTTTATCTTCCTAATATTGGGCAACAGCAATATGTCATACACAAACTGTATGTTCCAAGTGTGTATTAATCTGTTTGCAGAGGTGGAAAGTAGTGATACAAATACTGCGTTACTGTACTTAAGTACATTTTTCTGGTATCAGTACTTTACTCCACTACTTATTTTTCTGACGACTTTTTACTTTTATTTCTTACATTTTGAACCCAAATACCTGTACTTTCTACTTCTTCCATTTTCCAAACAGGCTGGTTCCTTTAGTCTGAATGTGTGTTTGGTGGCGTGATCACTATTATTTAGAGTCATTGCGTGCCTATTGATTTGAACACGATCCGTGTATCCATCATTTCCTGGTCTTCTCTAAAGAAGAGGGACCAATGGAAACGTTGATCATGTTGCCGTTGGCTCAGCATGGAAACATTCATTAGCTAACAATGACAGTTATTGTTCTACATATAAAGAGGTCAGGGTACTCTTTAAAACAGCTGCCTAGTAGGGGTACTTTTTACTACATTTGCAGAGCCCACTATCTTC